CAGACAATGGCAGCAGCCAGGGCTAGCCTGGGCCGGATCGTCCCCGAGTCCTCCATCCTGTTCCTGTGTGACATGCAGGAGAAGCTTCGAGACAAAGTCCTATACTTCCCACAGATCGTGTCCGTGGCTGCTCGGATGCTTAAGGTACGTGCCAGCTTTACCTTCCCAAGACCCGGGGAGTGTAGACCGGAACCCTCGTCCCTCAGACCCGAGAATCTTGTCCTCAGCCCTCATATTCAGGTCCCAGCAAAGTGTTTTCCCTCCCGTACAGGTGGCCCGGCTGTTGGATGTCCCTGTCTTGCTGACAGAGCAGTACCCACAAGGCCTGGGCCACACAGTTCCCGAGCTGGGCGCTCAGGGCCTGCCAGCCGTGAGCAAAACGTGCTTCAGCATGGTACCCCCGCTGCAGCAGGAGCTGGACAGGCGGCCCCAGCTGCGGTCCGTGCTGCTCTGTGGCATTGAGACCCAAGGATGCATCTTGGTGAGACGTCTTGTCCTCGGTAGTCTGTAATCTCCCTGCCTGCCCTCTCGTGTCCTTTCTCCCGTCCTGGGGCCCTAGCTTTGACGTGAGCCTCTCTCCTCTGCTGTTTTCAGTCCTGGCTTCTGGTCTAGGATGCTCACGCCCTCACAGGGTCCACTGTCCTGCTCTGAGTCTCACCTTGACCTTGACCTTTCTCTGCCCCTTAGCACACCGCCCTTGACCTCCTGGACCGAGGGCTACAGGTCCATGTGGCAGTAGATGCCTGCTCTTCTAGAAGGTGAGAAGGTCACCCTGTGATTGGTGTATGTTGGGGATATCTGGGCCACTGTCCATGTGTCATATGGTTGTATGACAAATGTTTCCTGAGGAATTCCAACACTCAGACATCTACTCACCCCAGAAAGGGAACCTACTACAACCGATGTTACCTTTATACCAAAACCTGTGTCAGCAGTTGAATCAATGGCTTCCTTAGCTTTTTTTTTTTTTTTTTAATATTTTATGTGCATCAGTTTGAGAGTGTTGGATCTGCTGGAACTGTAGTTATAGACAGTTGTGAGCTGCCGTGTGGGTGCTGGGAATTGAACCCGGGTCCTCTGCAAGAGCAGACAGTGCTGTTAACTGCTGAGCCATCTCTCCAGTCCTGAACCAATGGGTTTTTATTGGGGTGGATTCAAAAGCTGCTTTGTCACTGAAGAGCCCAAGTCAACACTGGTTGAGGACAGCTCAACTGTCCAAGCATCTCGTCTAGTCCACTCTTGAAGCTGTTGGCCTCCTCATTTTATAAAGCTGGGAAGGGGCCTTTGAGAACCTTCCAAGTGTCAGCTTTCCTAGGCATGTGGCCTTTTGAAATTCTGTTTTATTCAGGTACAAATGTTTCCCTTACCTGTGTGTGTGTGTGTGTGTGTGTGTGTGTGTGTGTGTGTGACACGTGTGCAGAAGACAGAAGAGGGCGTCAGATCCCCCTGGAACTGGAGTTACAGGTGGCCACGAGCTGCTGTGTAGGTGCCGAGAATTGAACCTAGGTCCTCAGCAAAAGCAGCCAGTGTTAACCACGAGCCATCCCTCCAGCCCCACGTGTGGCCTCCTGTTTACCTCCTGAGTCTCACGAGCCTTCCCCTGCTACCTGAAGAGAGTGTTTCTGTTGAGAGGAAACTGTCCCTCAGCACAGATGTGCACAGCATAGGTATTTGCCCTCTCCTCCTGCTCTGCTCTGTCCTCTGCAGCCAGACGAACCGGCTGGTGGCACTGGATCGGATGAGACAAAGTGGCGTCTTCCTGTCTACCAGCGAAGTACTGATTTTGCAGCTGCTGAAGGACGCCGCACACCCACAGTTCAAGGAGGTAAAGGCCCTCCTGCCCTCTTACTGGCCCTCCACTGTCTGTCACCCAGGCGTAGAAGAAATGTTTTCCTTCTCTCTCATTTTTTTTTTTTTTTTTTTTTTTTTTTTTTTTTGGTTTGTTGTTTTGTGTCTTTAACTTTGGTTTTATTGTATGTTTCGCCTGTATGTATGTCTGTGCATCACTTGTGTGCTTGGCTGTTCGGTGTCCTCAGAGGCCAGAACTGGAGTTATAGACAGCTGTGAGCAATCAATGGGTACCGGAAATCAAATCTGGGTCTTTTAGAAGAGCAACCATCACTCGAAATGGCCGAGCTGAGAAACCAGCCCGCTTTTTTTTTTTTTTTTTTTCCGTCCTCAAGCTTGCAATGGAGACCAGGCTGACCTCGAACACACAGAGATCCGCCTGCCTGAGTGGTAGGATTAAGGTCCAGCCTTAAAAGAAAAAAAAAAAAACAAAACAAAAAACAAAAGAAACCCAGTTGGCAAAGCGCTTGCTATACAAACCTGGGGACCTAAGTGTGGATCCCCAGAAGCCACATAAAAGCTGGGTGCTGCAGTGAGGAGCTAGGATCCCTAGATCATTGAGAGACCTTGTCTCACGAAGGAAGGTGGAGAGCAATTCAAAAAAGAAAAGATACCTGACTTCATATCCTGGCTTCCCTGCACACACATACACGTGAACCCACACAGTCATGCATGCATACCACACATACACACATACACAGTGCATACACAGTGCCAACCCAGGACTTGGGGTGGAGCTCAGTAGAGGGTGTGGCTGGCATTCAGGAAGCCCTGGGTTTGATTACCCAGAGTCACACACACTGTGTGTGATGGTGCTCGTCTGTAACCCCATCCCTCTCTCTGCTGCTTCGTGTTTCAGATAGGCTCTTTCTGTGTAAGCCTGGCCGGCCTTTGGAGCTCAGGATGGAGACCAGGCTACCCTCACGGGGATCTGCCTGCCTCTGCCTCCCCAAGTCTGGAATTAGATGTGGGCACCACCATACCCTGTTGTAGTAGTCTTGAGGTACAGGCACTTGAAGTACTCTTGGCTACACGGTCAGTTTGAAGGGTGCTATGATGGACCCCGTCATCCCAAAAACAGTCAGCCCATGTTTGTTAATATAACCTGGAGCGGGATTGTGAAGAGTGTTGAGAAAATGGTCGCAGGTAACCTTGAACACCCGGGAGATAGCTGGAGCAAAGGCCAAGAGCTGGGGTTGTTTGTCATACTCCAGGAACTGGGTGTAGCTGAGTGTGGCCAATGCTAGCAGGTTGGGGGAGGAGATGATAGCAGAAGCTTCTTGTTCCTCCTGGTCCCGCAGCCATTTAATCCCAAATAAATACACAGAGGCATATATTAATTATAAACTGTTTGGCCGATGGTTCAGGCTTCTTAGTGGCTAGCTCTCTCTTAATTATTAACCCATTTCTGTTCATCTGTATCTCCACATAGTCTTGGCTTCCTGGAGAATGCCCCTGGCATCCTGTCGTCCTGGTAGCTACATGGCGTCTCTGTGGTGCCTTAACTCCCTGTGTCCTCTCCCCAGGATTCTCCTGGTCTGCTAGCCCACCTATACTTCCTGCCTGACTACTGGCCAACCAGGGTTTTATTCATCAACGAATAAGAGAAACATATATCAACCGCATACAGAAGGAGAGGGAGACAGGAGCCATGTCTTAGGAAAGATTCAGGCTTTAGCAATACCCCAGCCACTTGGTGCCCAAGGGCAGTCTGTGCATGTTCTTACTATAGAGCAGCTGCCTAGCATCGGCGAGACCCTAGGTTCTATTCCAGCAACACCAGCATCAGCACGAAGTAAAGCAAACCCATGTGGCGAGTGTTTGCCTCGTCCATAGATCCGAAAAGTGCATAGGGTAGGAGTCAGCTCCCTCTTAAGGAAGACTACATGTGTGCTTTGGGGTGTGCTACTAGAGCTGTAGGCTAAAGAAAAAAACAAAACAAAACCACCTCTCTTTGCTCCTAAAATCTACTTTAAAATATCTTAGTAAACTTCAACTGTGCTTCATTTAAAACAAACAAGAGTGGGAGCTGGCCTAGAACAGAAGGGAAGATAACCTTCACACGTGCTCCAACCAGTAGTAGGACTTAAGGAAGAAGAGACTGTGGACGTGTGGGATTTGCATTTGCTTTTTGTTTTTTGGTTTGTTTGTTTTTTTTTTTGTTTTGTTTTTTGTTTTTTGTTTTGGTTTGGTTTTTTCTTGTTTGTTTGCTTTTTGGTTTAGTTTTCTGGAGATAAACTTGGCTGAACTTGCTGGTTGATGGTAATGTGGTTGGTTCCTCCTGTTCAGCCAGGAGTGACTTGTGTGAATGAGTTGAGTTTGGGCCTGTGTGGGAGCCGAGGGCTTAAAGGAATGATGGGAAAGGTGAGATTGAGTGAAGAAAAGGAATATGTCGGCAAGAGACCCCGCCAAAGTAGACACACCCACCCTTAGTGGTGCAAGGCAACAGAGCAGACCAACATGGAGGTGTGCTGTAGCTCCACCAGGCCACCAAGGAAGCTTGTAAGCGGTTGATTGGAGAAGGGTTCTGACGGAATGATGAGGGAGATGAAGATGAGGAGGTGCTCCCCAGATTCGACCTCAAGGAGATGGGGAGGATGGTTCTTGACTTCCTGACCTCATCTGCCTGTAGGTCCAGAAGATCATTAAGGAGCCAGCCCCAGACATCGGGCTGCTAAGCTTCTTCCAAGGCGAGAACGACCCCCTGTCGCTGAACCCCAGACCCTGACTGGAGGGATGGACCCACCCTCCTTGTCTCCCAGACGTTGATGGATGGATGCCTTTTCCTTCATCCGTGGATCCCAAGAGTGGTGCAGTCCGCCAGGAGGACCGCCCCCGTGGGAGAGGAGGCGTGGTTCTGTCTTCTCATTGGGCAGCTAGTCCCGGAAATGCAAATGAGGCTGCTGGTGCCGGGTGGGAATTGGCTGAGGGGAAGGTGGAGGCGGGGCTGGGCCCCGGGCCACTTCACGGAGCGGGAAAAGGAGGGGGAAGGAATGTCACAACTGGGACCCGGTCTCAGAGAATAAACATTGATGTGCCTGAGGACCGAACCATTATTGGGTTTGGGGGGCATCACAGGGGCGACGGGGGTCTGTGGGAGGGAGGAAGTGGGGTCCCCTGCAAGTGGGGTGGGGGAGGCGCCTCTTCTGAGCTCAAAGCCGGAGCCGAGACACAGGCGAGGGCTGGCGGCGGCCACATCTGCACTGGGGCCGGTGCGCATCTGCACGAGAAAGAGCTGCCGGCCAGGGTCCCCGCCACGCTGCCTGCCGCCCCCACCCCCATCGGCGCGCGCGCGCCCAGCCCCGCTGGCTGGCAGACACGCGCTCGCGCTGCCTCCCTTGGCTGGCCCCCACGCTGCCACCCCCGATTATTCCCCGAGGGTCCCGCATCCGGAAAGTGAGGTGAGCGCATCCGTACCTGGTGAGCAGGGGGAAACTGAGGCACGGGGGAAATGCGGGGGGGGGGGAATAATAGGGAGGCAAGGACAAGTGTATGAATGAATGGATCGATGGGATGGACAGTTGCTGCTCGCTCAGTGGTTCGTACTCGCCCAAGACGCAGAATTCTGCAGCCCCTAAGAGATCAGAGTGTCGAAACTCTACGGGCGGCCCCCCACCCCACCTTCAACCTCCACCGCGTCAAACCCTCACTCAAGATTCGCAGAGTCCTTCCCCAGCCTTGGGAGCCCTTAGAGGCGCCCTGAGTCCGTCCCATTGACAATCAGACTCACCCCACCACCACCGCGGATCCTGGCAGCCCAGCCCCCTCCCAAAAGGCCTGGCACCAGTCACCTAGCCCAGCATACCCTCCCCGGGGACCTGGGAGTCCCAGTCATCCTCCGGAGCCCTTTGGGACACGGGCGTCGGAGCCCCGGCCCCCGCCTTCCGGATCCAGGTGTCCCCTCCGCACACCCAGCCCGAAGCCTGCGTCTCGAGGCCGCGCTCGCGTCGCCATGGCAACGGGAGTCTATTTTGCGCCGGGAACACACAGCTCCCTCCGCAGCGCCCCCCACCCTCCCTGCTCAAGAGTGAGGGGCTCAAAGGACGGACCGGGGGCAATGCCTTGGTGGGGCCCAGACGCTTAGGAGAGACAGAAGCCTGGGGCAAACAGGAGGAGACTGAGCGCCCCTGACAGAGGAACTGGGTGTGGAGACTACAGGAAGGATACAGATCCAGGCGGGGGAGGCTGGGGATGGAGGCCCCAGACAGAGATGCGGGACAGAGCCCCAGACAGACGCAGAGATGCAGAGGGACAGAAGCAAGGACCCGACGGCAGAGTCGGGTTAGAAAGAGAGAGAAAACAGCCGGCTGGGCTGGATGAAGGCAGGGGTCCTGACGGGAAGTGGACGGAGTCCCTAGGCAGGGACCCCAGACATCCCAGACAGAGAAACACTGCCTGTGGTGCTGGGGAGACACCTGCTTTATCCTCTCTCTAGCAAGAATTTGGGGATCTTTCCAGGCAGCCAGGACCCGCTCCTTTTCCCTCCCTCTGCGTCTTCTACAGGTCCTCAGTCTTGCCTGATTTCCGAATTCCTACCTTAGAGTGACTTTCTAATCCCTGACATTCATAGGAACCTCCTCCACTTGCTCTCCAACCCCAGCCTGAGCTGCCCTCCCCCTACAACCTCCGCAGCTGCCACCTGCAGACCCTACTCAGGCCATTTGAGAGGTTCTGGTCCTTGATGGCTGTGCCCTCTCCATCTCCGAGTCTCTCCTCTCTCACTCTCTCTCTCTCTCCCTTCTTTCTCTCTCTCTCACCCACCCACCCACCCCTGCCCAGCCCCGCATCCCGCCCTGCTCAGGGGCCTCTTTTCTTCCCCCCCCCTCTCTCTCTCTCTCTCTCTCTCTCTCTCTCTCCTCCCCATCACTATCCATCCTCCCAGTACCACCCCCTGTGGGTTTCTATCTCTTTCCTGACTGGCTGTCTCTGGCTGTCTTCCTCTTTGCTTCTATGCTCCCCTCTTTCTGGACCCTGCTCCTCTGTTCCTCTCTCTCGGGCACCCTCACCAGCCTCCCCCCACCTGCTGCTGCCCCTGCAAGAATCCTCGAGAGGCACTCTGACCCACCCAGCCCACTTCTGCCATCCTAGCCAAGATTCTCCACCCGCTGCTGGCAGGGATGGGGTAGGACTTGTTGAAGGCTTCCTCTCCTCGGCCTGGCTCCCTTTCTCTGCACCTTGTGTCTCTCAAGTCCTAAGCTGCATTTGAGAACCAAGGAAGGTGCACCAGCAGGAACCGCCAGGGGTTTGGGGCCTCCCTTCCCACCCACCCCCTCTGGCTGTGGAGGAGGACGTTGACTTGTGAGTGAGAACTGGAGGTTGGGGGCGGTCTAGGGCTGGGGGCGGATCAGGGGATGGGGCGGGGATAGAGGCGCTGCAGGAGTTCTCACAGCCAGTTGCAGATTCTGCACAGCTGGGCCAGAGTGTGCTTGCACCTATAAGGCTGCGTGACAGAGCTAGGATGCCTGCCTGTTTGCCCCAGTGCAGGGAGCTGGACTTGGGCCATAGTGTCTCTGGTATGCCTTGACATCTGAGTCTTGGGCACTGTTGGCTAAAGTGTGTTGCAAGTGTTTGCATGTCCGCGTAGAGGGAGGGGCGTGCGTATGTGCACACGCTCACACACACGCTCTGGAAGGAGGTATAAGTGTATCGTCAGGATGACACTGAGTGTCCTTGCTTTCGTCCAGCGCTCAGGTACCACTGTGGTCATCGGTTCAGTGATGAGTCTGAGTAGTGTTGTGTGAGGGGAACTGAGACCCATCCCCCTTGTCTCCAGTGTCTGCTCTGGCTGCTGCATCTGCAGATGGGTGTCCTCTGTCAACTCTCAGCCTTTGAGCAAGGCAGACAGCTGCCTTCCGCCTCATCAGCCCAGATGGCTTTCATTCCTCCAGCCAGATTCCCATTGTACATGACAGTGCTCAAGGAATGAAGGGATCTGTATGGCTGCGTCTCAGAAAGGCTGCTCTCTAGGTGCTCCTCCCCCCCGCCCCCGTGTTGGGATAAAGCCATCTAGATTAGTACCTGGAGACCCAGGTTCACAGCCTAGCCCCAAGTCCGGCCACAGTGGGACTTAGCCAACCCATAGGACCTGTTAGAATTTCGTTCTCATTTGGCAGGTGGGGTGGGAAGGCTGTGAATACCGGCTTCTCATACGCGCTCCAACACTTCCTGAGACATAAATGTTCTCTCGGGCATTCACATGGATCAGAGACTGACTCTGAGTGCTGCAGAGAGGCAGTGAGGATGAGCTCAAATCATCTGCCTTCACGGACAGTCTAGCCTGGGCGTGAAAGGAGCTTGGAAAGGCACCATGTGCATCCTGTGGCAAACGCACAGGAGTTCTGAAAAACAGTGAGGGTGGATTAAGGAAGTTCACAAATGCCCTAGTAAAATAAGAGCAAGTGTTTATTTTGGGAGCATCCACACATGGTCTTCCGCCCTTGAAGGTGCAGGATGCTGTGATCCGGGATGATGATTAGGTCTCAGCCCATCGCCCCAAGAGAAAGCGAGAGCAACCCCAACTCCATAAGGGATTACTTCGGCACACGGAAGCCACGCCCAATGAATCCCCCACTACAAGTCAGCTCAGGCCAGGGAACACCAGCGGGTCTGGGGCTGCTTTGGGACTAGCTGAGGTGCTGAAGGCAAGCTGAGATCAGCTAAGTAAGGCAGCAGCAAGTGCTAAGGGAAAAAAGCAGAGAGTTCTTGGGCACCACGACCCTAGAATGGTCTGGAGAGATTGTTCTCCACCGACGGGTCGCGACCCCTTTGGGTCCACAAGGGTCACTTAAGCCACTGGAAAATACAGATATTTGCATACAATTCTTAACAGTAGCAGAGTTACAGTTTTGGAGTAGCAATGAAAATACTTCTATGGTTGGGGTTACCACAACATGAGGAATTGTATTAAAGGGGTCGCAGCATTAAGAAAAAAAAAAAAAAGTTGAGAACTTCTGGCCTAGAAGAAAAGGAAAGGGCAGGCACTTTAGGTAGATTGAGGCAAGAAGTCAAGACTTGGTCTGAACAGGGCTGTTGATGTCATCTGCCCATTTTTGCTTGCTTACGTGGTTGGTTGGTTGGTGTTTGGTTTTTTGAGACAAGGTTTCTGTGTGGAACAGTCCTGGCTGTCCTGAAACTCATTCTGTAGACCAGGCTGGTCTAGAACTCACAGAGACCCTCCCGCCTCTACCTCCCGAGTCCTGGGATTAAAGATGTGTGCCACCACTGCCCACCTGTTTGTTTATTTTTAAAGACAGGGTCTAACGTACTCATAATTAAGCTTGTTGACTTTGAGTTGTGACCCCTGCCTCTACCTTGCAAGTAAGTACTGGGATGAGAAGCAGGAGTCACCATTGCCTACCTCCATTTTTTAAAGAATTGTGGTAAGACGTGGTTGGATGTGGTGGCAAACACCTTTAATACCAGCACTTGAAGGCAGAAGCAGGCAGATCTCCATAAATTCAAGCCAGCCTGATCTACATAGTGAGTTCCAAGCCAGCCAAGGGTATAGATAGTGAGACACTGTCTCAAAAAGCAAACAAAACAACAAAAACACTCAGGGAAAATGACGGAAACAGATGCAGAGACCCACAGGCAAACACTAGGCAGACCTCCTAGAATCCTGTGGAGGAAAGGTGTCAAGGGGTGGGGGCTGAGGATTATGGGAGCCAGGGGAGTCAAGGACACCATGAGAAAACCCACAAAACCAACTAACCTGCGCTCATATGGGTTCACAGAGACTGAACCTCGGTCCCAGGAGTTTACGTGGACTGACCTAGGCCCTCTGTACATATGTTACAGTTGTGTAACCGGTCTTTTTGTGGGGCTCCTAGCAGTGAGAGTGGGGGTATCTCTGACTCTGTTACCTGCGTTTGGGACCCTTCCTCCTACTGGCTCACCTCATCCAGCCTCTACAGGAGAGGCTGTGCCTATTCTCACTGCAACTTGGCTGGCTGATATCCATGGGAGACCCACCATTTTCTGAAGAGAAACAATGGAGAAGTGAGGGAGGGAGGAAAGGATGGTGGCAGAGGAGGGAGAGAGGGAGGGAGGGAAGGAGGGAAGGAGGGAGGTAGGGGAACTGATCAGACTGGGCAAAAAAAAAAAAGTATTTATTTGTTAAAAATTAGAAAAAATACATAACATTTACATTTAGCCCCTTTAAAATGTACAACTCAGTGATGCCTGGCATATTCCCTCTGTTGTGTGATGATCTCTGCTATCTAGTTCCAGAACACTCTCTTTTATTTTAGTTGTTTGTGTGTGTGTGTGTGCGCACCTGCATGCATTGTGCACCATCGTTGAAGCATGCACAAACGCCATGGTTCACACACAGAAATCAGAGAACAGCTTTTGGGGGTCTGTTTTTCACCTTCTACCATCTGGAAACCAGAGGACCCAATCAAAGTTGTCAAGCTTAGCAGCAAGCACCTTTACCCACCTAGTCATCTTGCCTGCTCTAGCTCCAGAACTTTCTCATCACTCCAAAAGGAAGCCTTCTGTGCACGAAGCCATCCCTCCCATGCCCTTCCTTCCAGCTACAACATATAAGTAATAAATAGGATTTCTATCTGCATGGGTTTAACTATTGTGGGTATTTCATACAAGTGAGCACATATACTGTGTAACATTTTATGTCTTGCTACTTTCGCTTAGCACAACGTCCTCAAGATTCGTCTATGTTGTAGCATTCGTAGTTACCAGAGCTTAAGTGAGAAAGAAGCTTTTATTAGAAAAGGGAGGGAGGGGGGAAGGAAAGAGAAAAGAGGTAAAGGACACAAAGACATAGAGAGAGGACAGAAGAGAAGAGGGAGACAGGGAAAGTCTTGTGTGCCCCAGAGGAACCGCGGGGAACAGAGCAGGAAAGAGGAACCAGAAAAAAAAAATGGAAAAGAGATCATGAGTGGGAGTGGGGGGTCTTCCTTTTAAAGGGTCCTTTGCACCTGGGCTGACCAGGGTACTGCCTGAGTGCATTCTGTCAGGTGACAGGGACAGGCCAGCATAATGCCTAAATCCTTATACTATAGACTTTCATGCGTGCATTTTGTATGCTCATACGTACTTAGTCCTTTGGGGGTAAACACAGGAAATGGAACTGCTGGTTCCTATGGTAACTTACAATTTATTTGTGCGTGGTATATGGGATGAAGCCCTCAACCTCCAGCAGGCTATGCAAATGCACTACCCCTGAGCTATATGCCCCGCTCTCTCTTGGACTCAGGGTTGGCCTTGAACTCACTATGTACCTGGGCATGTCTTGAACGTGCAAGCTTCCTGCCTCAGCATCCCAGGCAGACTGGATGGCCACCATGTATGACTGGTTAAGTTTTTTATTCACCACCAAACTCTTCAACCGTGAGAGCCATGCCATTTCTAAAGGCCCCTTTAAACACCCAATGTGAGAGCTCCCAGTAAGCAGTGAAATGTTGTAGGCTAGGGTTCAGGGGAGAAGTCTAACCTAAGGCTAAAAGGTAAAGTTGAAGGCTAGGTGTGGACATGCACTCAGGGATTAGAGGCAGGAGGATTGAAATTTCAATGTCAGCCTTCATTACATAGTGAGTTTGAGTCCAGCAAGGGCTCCATGAACTTTATTATAATAAAACCAAGCAAAAAGTAAAGAAGAAGGGAGAACAGGAAGGCAGGGGGTGGGTGGAAGGTGTGGAGGGGGAGGGAGAAAGGAGGAAGGGATGGGTGGAGAGAGAGAGAGAGAGAGAGAGAGAGAGAATGCACTCATGCACCTGTAATCCCAACACTTGGGAAGCGGTGGCAGGAGAATCATTCACTGGTTTAAAGCTAGCCTGGGCTACACAGTGAGTTACAGGACAGCCTGAATTAGAGTGAGACTCTGTGTGTGTCTGTGGCGGGGGGGGGGGGGGGGGGGGGATTGAATGCCAAGCAGTAGTGGTGCACATCTTTAATCCCAACTCTCCGGAGACAGAGGCAGGTGGATCTCTGAGTTTGAGCACAGCCTGCGCCACAGAGTGAGTTCTGGGACAGCCAGAGCTACACAGAGGAACCTTGGACAGCAAACAAAGAAAAAAGTTGAGATCCCACGTGATAAGACTTGAAGCTAAATGTTGGGGAAACCCAGTACCCAAAAACCATCTCCCATTCTAGCTTTCCAGCACTTTGGTTGACAGTAGCCACACACACACACACACACACACACACACACACACACACACACGACAGAACAAAGTATAAAATCACCTAGTGGTTTTCACTTAAATACTTCCCCACCCCCTTCCTTCCTCTTCTGCGGTTTCAGCTCCCTACTGCTTCCCGATGTTTCTCCTCAGTAGTCTGTCTAGCACCTCCCTCTTCTCTCGAGAGGGTTGGAACCTTAGACCCACAGGGACCTGTGGGCTTGCTTTCTTCATTCCAGATCGCATTCTTAATGCTCCCCACAGCTCAGGGAGGGTGGTCAGGACCCTCAGGCATGCCCCCAAGGATTGTCTCCAGAAGGAGCCCCTGTCCCCCCCCCCCGCACTGGGCACAGCCTCTGCTCAAGGTGGCATTCGAGAGTAGGGAGAGACGCTGAGGAGAACCCCCAGAGCCTGCTGCCTGCAGCCCCAGCTCTGAGCTGCTTATCCTGCTTACTGGTGGGGCTCTGCCAAACTGTCTCTACACCCCCGTATCTTCTCCTGCCCACCCTGGCCTCTTCCTGACCAGCCTGGACCGTTGCCGTGGAGACAGCTAGAAGATCTGCCCTTCTGACCCACCTCCCCAATCCCATTTCTGTTCTCATCACCCCCACATCAAATGTTTCTTCTAAAACTGTGAACAGCAGTGACACTTTTGTATAGGAAATCATGTGCGTGCACATGCGTGCAAGTGTGCCTCGTGCGTGTGTGTGTGTGTGTGTGTGTGTGTGTGTGTGTGTGTGTGTATTGTATGAAAGAGGTAGGACACGCTTGGAAAATTGAGAACCAAATAGCATAAGCCAGTAGTTCTTAACTATACTGTGTCCCCATCACCAAGACAACTTTCCTTTGTCGGTTTGTTTGCTGGTCTCCCCATATCTTTGGCTGGCCCAGAACTTAACTATACAGCTCAGGTTGGCCTCAAACCTCAGTCCTCCTGCCTCCCTCCTCCAGAGTGCTGGGATTACAGGCATGTGTCACCATGTGTCACCAGGAGGCATCTTAGGTTGTCACACACACCTGCATGCCTGTCAGCTGTTCTACGGGTTCATAGGACAAGAATGTTTGACGGCTTCCATATCAGTGTCAGTGTCCCTGCACCTGTGGCAAGAGTAAAGCTTAGCTGGTAGCTCACCTGACTAATTTTCATACTCTCTCTCTCGCTCTCCCTCCCTCCCTCCACTACCCTGCTGCCCCGCACCCTCTGTCCCTCCTTCCCTCCCTCCTCTTTCCCTCCCTTCTTCCTTTCCCTCCTTCCTGGGCTCCGCGGGTCCCTGCCTGCGGCTCACCCCCCCCACACACACACACACACACTTCTTCTTCAACTCCCCCCTCTGCCTTCACACCTTCCTTCCCGGTCAAGTCCTCCCTTCTTTATAACTTCTGCACGCCCCTCCTCTGTCCCCGCCGACCTTTCTTTTCTCCCGCTGCGCCCCCCTCCCCGCCCCCGTTGCTCCCTTTGCCTTCCCCCTCCCACCCCTGCAGTTCGGCTCCGGGATCCGCAGCCTGGCGTCCCGGTGCGCACCATGCGGGCCCTGCTGCTGCTCGGGACCGTCGCGCTGCTGGCCTCCGCCGCGGGCCCAGCCAGGGCGCGCCCATCCAACGACACGAGCGCAGTGGCCCCGGGTCCGCTGCCCGCGCTCCTCGCGCACCTGCGGCGCCTAACCGGGGCTCTGGCGGGCGGCGGGAGCGCGGCGGGCCCCGCGGCCAACGCCACCAAGACCAACCCGGCGGGTGGCGCGGGCGCAGCGGCACGGGCTCCCCCTCCGGCCGAGCTCTGCCACGGCTACTACGATGTCATGGGTCAGTACGACGCCACCTTCAACTGCAGCACCGGCTCCTACCGCTTCTGCTGCGGCACCTGCCACTACCGCTTTTGCTGCGAGCACCGCCACATGCGCCTGGCTCAGGCCTCCTGCTCCAACTACGACACGCCACGCTGGGCCACCACGCCACCGCCTCTAGCCGGAGGCGCCGGGGGCGCCGGGGGTGCGGGAGGGGGTCCGGGGCCGGGCCAGGCAGGGTGGCTGGAAGGGGGCCGGGCCGGGGGCGCTGGTGGACGTGGAGGCGAGGGTCCCGGGGGCAGCACAGCCTACGTGGTGTGCGGAGTCATCAGCTTCGCCCTGGCGGTGGGCGTCGGTGCCAAAGTGGCCTTCAGCAAGGCGTCGCGTGCGCCCAGAGCGCACCGGGAGATCAACGTGCCCAGGTAGGTGTGCGGCGGGACTGGAGGGACAGGGGGGAAGCTGGGGCTCTGAGAGGCCAAGCAATCTGATGGAGGCGGTGCCTCGATGCTGGGTGGTGAAGCAACTGGTTAATGGGCAGGGCTTATGCGGTGAGAGGTTCAGGAACCTGCCCTGGGGGCGTGGCCTAGGAATATGGGCGGCTTTGTGGGGCGGGGCCTGCTCAGTGGAAGGCGGGACCTGTTGGGGCGTGACTACACGGATAGGTGGGGTCCAAGTTAGAGGTGGGAAATAACTGGGGACTGAGAACAGAATCAATGGAAGGACCTAGCTCTGGAGAAGAATTGGGTTAGGAGAGTTCATTCCTTCAATCGGTATTTCTTGAAAAACTTTGTGGGTCAGGAGCTGAGGAACACAAGCCCTGCCCTTCTGGATAAGCCTGCGTCCCAAGCCCAAGAATTCTGCTTGTGATCTATGTGATTAGAGGCCTCTGTGCCTCGGGTTCCTCGCATAGACAACAGGACTGAGGACAGACCTCCGTCTATTCGGATTCTAAAGATTAACTGAGCTGATTCACGTAGAGTCCTAGCTGAGTAAGTGCTTTGTGGTAGAAGCCAGACATTAGTGGTGCACGCCTTTAATCCCAGCACTCAGGAGGCAGAGGCAGGCCTCTGTGAGTTTGAGGCCAGCCTGGTCTACAGAGTGAACTTCAAGACAGTCAAGGCTACAGGGCAAAAAAAAAAAAAAAAAAAAAGGACAAAAAATTTCAAAAAAAAAAAAAAAAAAGTGTGGTAGACCCAGCAAGCATATATGCAACATAACTCTAAATATTGGCAACTTCTGCTAAAAAAAAAAATTGTAAAGCATTAAGGGAAGGAGTAGCGTTGATTTGGGGGAGGGATGGGTTTAGTTGAAGATGAGAAAGAGTCTGTCTGAGCTGGAATACTGGCAGCTACTGTGTGAAGGTCATTCCAGGCAGAGGGAGCAGGCACATTCCGGAAGTGTCCTGTGTGTACATGGTGTCTGAGGAGGGAGCAGGCAGGGGCTGTTTCTTCTGTGTGCTATGAAGAGCCACTAGAGGTAGACAGAGCCCATTCCAACACCCTGAGGCTGTGTGTGTGTGTGTGTGTGTGTGTGTGTGTGTGTGTGTGTGTGTGAAAGAGAGAGAGAGAGAACAGACCAGGAGAAAGTGACTTCCAGGCTGATGGACAATGTATTGTGGAAGTCTACTTTGGAGGACTGCAGAGAGTTCCACAAGGTTTGAGATCCGCCTATGTGAACTAGTAGGGTATCTTTTATTGCAACCAGGAATGGTGCCCAGTGAACAGTAATGGTCTCAGTTCATGACGGGGCAAGGCCACACAGGAAGATATGGACGGGCCCCGGAAGGAGTTCTTGAAAGAATACGTCAGGCAGGAAATGCAGCTGAGAACAGCTGACATTAGAAGGTGCCTAGCCAAAGATAAACAAAACAAAAACCATGTAGTACTTTAAGAAAAGTGGTGCCCGAGAGAAAGATGCCATGCAAGAGGGTTCAAGCAGGGTTTTAATTAGGGAAAAATCATAAACAAGAGAAAGGAAAGAAGGGAGACCCACCTCCAAAGACAGGAGCAGCAGGAGAGGGAGGAAGGAAAGAGGGGGAGAGGAGAACAGACAGAGAGAGGGAGTGAGAGAGGGAAGGAAGGGAGGTGGGCAGGGCCCTTTTAAAAGGGAACAGAGTGAATGTGCACAGGAGGTGCTCCTAGTGGCTGTAGCTGAGGGCGTATCCTGTCAGAACCCCAAGTTCAGGCCAGTACAGATGCCTGAATACTAACAACCTCTGCATTGCAGACTCCATAAAGAACAGCATTGGAAACCAGCCAGGCAGCGGTGGCGCCCGCCTTTGATCCCAGCATTGACTGGGGAGACAGAGGCAGGTGGATCTCTATGAGTTTGAGTCAAGCCTGGTCTACAGAGCGAGTTCCAGGACAGCTAGGGCTGTTACACAGAAGAAACTCTGTCTTGAAATACACACACACACACACACACACAGAGAGAGAGAGAGAGAGAGAGAGAGAGAGAGAGAGAGAGAGAGAGAGAGCATAGGTTGGGGAAGAAGCCTGGGTCTTTCCTCATCTCCCCCCCCCCTCAGTCCCTGACTACCCATCCATGTGCCTACCATTTTCAGAGCTCTGGTAGACATTCTGAGGCATCAAGCAGGACCTACAACCCGCCCAGACAGGGCTCGAAGCAGTTCTCTGACCCCAGGGCTAGGAGGCCCAGAGAGTGCACCCCCCAGGACACCCAAGAACCTTTACAACACCATGAAGCCCTCCAACCTCGGTGAGTGCCGGCGACAGATGCAGCCTCTTTTGGGGCTCTGTGCTCCTCCGTGTGAGTTTCGATTCCCTGGCCCCACTCCAGCCTCCATCCATCAGCCTTGAAACTTTCCTTTCTCCCTTCACCACCCATTCTGCTCATCCTGAGAGAAAGTTCCAGAGGCCACATGGGACAAGAAAAAAATTCTGCCCTTGTCTGAGGCTGGAAATGGGGGAGGGTGGCGAGGCGGTGGCGGTGTGGGCTTTTTCCCAGGGAGAGGAGTAACTTGTGCTGCAGGAACTCTGGGTGGCTGGAGCAGAGCTAAGGTCTGAGACCACAGACATCATGTATTCTAGACTTCTTTGGTGCCAGGCTGAGCCTCGGCACTGTGCTCTGAAATCAGTGAGAAACCACTGAGGTGTTTTGAGTGGGGAGCAACACAGATAGTTGTTGTAGCACACACAGCTGTAGCATCAGAATTCTGAGTGGAGGATCAAGAGCTGGAGGCACGCCTGGGTTAAATAGCAAGACCCTGCCTCAGAAAACCAAGGGGTAGGGATGCAGCTCAGGGGTAGAATGGACCGATAAGGATCTGGAGATGGAACCCATGGGTAGACCACTTGTCTAGCATCCAACAGGGGGGGATTGGGGGTGTTGTTCAGTGGTAGGGTGTTTACCTAGCATGCGTAGGGCTCTGGCTTCCATCCCCAGCCTGGAAAAACATTCAAAGGAAGTCAGGCTTGGTGGCTCATGCCTTTGATCTCAGCACTCAGGTGGCAGAAGAAGGAGGAGCTCTGTAAGTTCAAGGCCAGCCAGAGTGAGACTGACTGACTGTATGTATGTATGTATGTATGTTCTGGAATCTGTAACCCATGTTAAGGGAAGAGATGAGATGAAAGAGGGTCTGGAAACTAGAGTTATAGCCCATGTCAGGGGTGAAGGGAGGAGATGTTTTGGGGTTTTTTTTGTTTTATTTTGTTTTGTTTGATTTTAGAGACATGGTCTCTCTGTGTAGCCTTGGCTGACCTGGAATTTTCTCTGTAGACCAGGCTGGCCTCTAACTCAGAGATCTTCCTGCCTCTGCCTCCCACGTGCTGGGATCAAAGGCATGTGCCACCACTGTCCTGGCGGGATGAGATGATTTTCAATAGTAATAATGAAGAGACATTTTTTGTTTTTGTTTTCAGATAAAGTTTCATATAGTCCAGGCAGGGCTCAAACTCCCTATATAGATGAGTGTGTGTGTGTGTGTGTGTGTGTGTGGCTTTTTTGTTTTATTTGTTTTTCGAGATCGGGTTTCTCTGTGGCTTTGGAGGCTATCCTGGAACTCGTTCTGTAGACCAGGCCGACCTCGAACTCACAGAGATTCGCTTGCCTCTGTCCTGAGTGCTGGGATTAAAGGATTGTGCCACTCCCACCACACAGCCCCCAACCCCCAGCATGAATCTGAACTTGAACTCTGATCCTCCCCAAGTCTTTGGAGTGCTGGGATTAGAGGCTTGTGTCAGAGCATCAGGCTGTTTGGTTTTTTTGTTTGTTTGTTTGTTTGTTTTTTGTTTTTCCTAACACTGTGCTGTAGGCTGCCTGGAACACCTGTAGCCTGGGCTGGCCTGGAATTCACGGCAGCTCTTCTGCCTCAGCCTCCTGTTTGTTGGGGATGCAGTCATGAGCCATTCAGTGAAGCCTCAAGCTAGCTCTTGAGGGAGGTTTCATTATCCAGGCAAAGAGGGGGAGGCAGAGATCCAAGGCATTGAGACCAGAGTTACAGAATGTGCAAACGTCCTGTGGCGCGCCTCAGATGCCACACCCATGGTCCACTCTCCCTGTGGGGCGTGGCGAACCATGGAAGGCATCAGAGTGCCAGAGGGGCAGCCGCTGTGGGTCTTCCGGCCTTCACGTGGACTGGGAAGAGGGCAAACAGGCATATCTGATGATTCAGAGAGAGGGTGTCTGTCAAGGCAGAGATGTGGAGTCAGGAGGGACCACTAGGCCTGGATGGTGAGAGGGAAAGAGGTGGTATGGAGTTCTGGCCTGGTATTGGGATGAATATGGAAGGCAGCCCATGACCCTGCCCCTGCATCCGTTGTTTCCTCAATGGGACAACTGGTCAACCTGTGGGACTCTAATGGGGGGGGAGGGGGACTGTACTGAACTGGGAGCCAAAAGTGACACACTTCCGGGCAGGATTGCCAGCTGGGATGGCGATGACAGTGACGTCACCTCCCTTCTCGGTCCCTCAGATAACCTGCACTACAACGTCAACAGCCCCAAGCACCGCGCTGCCACACTGGGTACGCAGAGGGCCGAGGCGCCCTGGGAGTCGGGGTCCTTCAAGCCCTCACTGTGGGCAGCCCCAGCCTGGTGCTGGGTGGAGCCCCAGTAAGCGCCCCCCGTGAGCCGGTGCTCACGTGGGGGCTGGCCACCAAGGCAGCCGCAGTATCCTTGAGAGGACACCCGAAGTGGTGATCTCCTTCCAGTCGAGTTTTGGGAAGATGCCTGGAATGCATCCCCAGCTGGGGCCAGGAATCACTGGGTGCTGACAAATGCCAGCGGTCCCCAATCTGGAATGTGATTTCATCCTCAACCACAACCCTGTCCACTATGGTGGGAAAGGAGGGGCTCCTAAACGTTGGAGCTTTTGCTGGCTAGAGAATCCCAGATCTCTGACCTCCCAAGACCTAGACCTCTGAAGGAGGAAGGTGGGAGACTGAAATCTCAGGTCCAAGGGGAGAAGATGAAAGCATGGACCCCCGGGGCCTGAGAAAAGACGCTGGGATTTGAAATCCCAGATCTAAGGGAGGAGGGTTAGAATACACACTCGGGTCTGAATGAAGAAGAGGGCGGGACCCCAGACTCCTGGATCTAAGGGAGGAGGGCAAAGATCTGCTGGACCCTAGGTCTCGGGGAGGAGGGGTAAGACCTGGATTCCTCTGCCTGAGATTGGGGGTTGGATGGAATCTGGACCTTTGAGCTTGAGGGAGGAGTACTAGCATCTGGATTTCTTGGTCTGAGGGAGGAGGGCTGGGCTGTGGGTCCCTGGGTCCGAAGGAGGAGGGCTGGGCCTGGAACCTTAAGTCCTAGGGAAGAGGGCTGGGATTTGGGAACCTGGGTCCAAGGGAGGAGGGCTGGGCTCTGGGAATCTGGGTCTGAGGGAGGAGGGCTGGGCTCTGGGTCTGAGGGAGGAGGGCTGGGATCTGGGAACCTGAGTCCAAGGGAGGAGGGCTGAGCTCCAGGAACCTGGGTCTGAGGGAGGAGGGCTGGACTCTGGGAATCTGGGTCCGAGGGAGGAGGGCTGCACTAACCGGGTCTTCCCCCTACCACAGACTGGCGAGCCATGCCACCACCCAGCCCCAACCTACACTACTCCACACTGTCCTGCTCGCGATCCTTCCACAACCTCTCTCATCTTCCCCCATCCTATGAGGCTGCTGTGAAATCGGAACTAAATCGCTACTCCTCTCTCAAGAGATTGGGTGAGCCTGAGAAAGGGGAACTCAGCCAATGGCCTGGGGTGGGGGGCGGACAGCAGTCAGCAGTCAGGGTGGTGCGGAACTCCAAAGGTTCCAATCTTCCTACAGGCTTTTTTTGTTTGTTTTTTCCTAGCTGGTTCTACATTACCTGGAATATTTTGGGTTGGGCTTTTGTTTATTTGTATTTCATTTGCTGTTCTGAGACTGTCTCACTTTGTAACCCACTTTGTCCTGGAACTCAGGATGTAACACAGACTGACCTCAAACCGGTGGTGACCTGCCTATTTCAGCTTCCCTAGCGTTGGGAAGGCAGGTGTGAAGCATCACACCCTGCTGGGCATGGTGACTCTTACTGACCAAACATTAAGACCTCCTGGGTGCGGCCTGAGTGGAACTCGGATGAGGAGGCAGCATAGGAGGAGGAGGAGGAAGGCTCTGGGTTGCCAAGGGGTCTTCTTTCTCTCTTCTCCTCCAGCTGAGAAAGATCTGGACGAAGCCTACCTGAAACGCAGACATCTGGAGATGCCCCGCGGGACACTGCCCTTGCATGCACTACGGCGGCCTGGCACTGGAGGTGGCTACCGCATGGATGGCTGGGGTGGTCCTGAGGAGCTGGGCCTGGCACCGGCACCCAACCCCCGGCGGGTTATGTCGCAGGAGCACCTGCTGGGTGACGGCCGTTCCCGCTATGAGTTCACACTGCCCCGGGCCCGCCTGGTGTCTCAGGAACACCTGCTGCTGTCCTCACCAGAGGCCCTTCGCCAGAGTCGAGAGCATCTGCTGTCCCCACCGCGAAGTCCCGCACTGCCCCCAGATCCTACCACCCGGGCCAGCCTGGCCGCCTCACACTCCAACCTGCTGCTGGGGCCTGGGGGGCCCCCCACACCCCTGCATGGGTTGCCTCCGTCAGGCCTGCATGCTCACCACCACCATGCCCTCCATGGCTCTCCTCAGCCAGCCTGGATGTCTGATGCAGGAGGGGGCGGGGGCACACTGGCCCGCAGGCCGCCTTTCCAGCGCCAGGGCACCCTGGAGCAGCTCCAGTTCATTCCAGGACACCACCTGCCACAGCACCTGCGCACTGCCAGCAAGAACGAAGTGACGGTCTGAGGCCAGGATGGAGCGCTGGGGGCTGTGGCTTCTGCGGTGGCCCCCTCCTCCCAGCCCAGATCTCCATCGCAGGGTTATCATACACACCGAGGGTCTGAGACCAGATGGGCCCTTGGATCGGAGACCACGCCTCCTTTTGGGATGTCACAGTAGATGAGATCTCTCTTTCTACTTTGTCACTGTTCGAACCAAGGCCCCCTTCCCATGATGTCATCACAGAGGAAGAGGCCCGCACATGGGGTCACCACTGGCAAATATGTCTGTGTTCTATGATGTCGTCGCAGGAACTAAATCTTCTTCCGATGAGGTCACCACAGAGGAAGAGGCCTGCCCATGAGGTCATCACTAGAGGCTGTGTCTATTTTGCATGACATCACCACAGAGACTTCCTTTCCTGTGATGTCACCACAGACAATGCCTTGTCCCATGCCATCATCCCTAGAAGCAAAGACTTCTTCCTGCGATGTCACCAGAGACAGGGTCTCACGCTTCCCGAGACTCCTTTGATACCATCCTGAGCACCAAGGCCTCGTGAAACTGTCATCACAGGAAAAAAAACATTCCTCTGCCATGGAGAAGACACCTCCACCCCATAATGCCATGACTACAGACGAAGCCATTTTCCTGGGACACATTGCAGGAGACCATGCCCAGCCATCGGTGTCCTCGATAAAGATTTCGGCCTCCTTCCCAGTGTCGTCACAGGATTTTGCCTCCCTCCTGTGATGCCATCACCAGAGTCGGTGCCTTGCCCGATGGCGCCATCACAGGATCTGTGCCTCTTTATGTGACGTCGGTACCAGAAACGGCCACCTGTTCCGGCCGGGGACCTCCACAGGACGAGGCCCTTCTGTGGTGTGACCACCAGTTACCACCCACTTGGAAATGACACCAGGAGACACCTTTACTGCCGTGCCATGACGTGAGAAAGTCGGGCATGTCCAGCCCAAGACCACTGGGGAAGATGTCAGAGGAAGCAGCTTTTCCCGGGGTGTAACATGAGGGCGTGGGCACTGGGGATGTCTGTAGGAGGCTGGCGATGATGCCCTCCATTGCTTGGACATCTTCACCAAGGGTCCCCTTCTCAGAGGCAGTCCCCTCTCTAGATGACTACCGGTAGTGATTACGTCATCGGAGTCTTTGTCTTGCTTCCCTATAACTCAGCCCCACGGCTTCTTCCCATGACCCCAGGGACATGGCCAACAGGACGTCTACCAGCACCTCTAAAGGAAGGTCGGGCCCGTGCGGTGAGTCCTTGGGGATGAGCACCCATGGATGAGCTTCGGCCACTTTGATCCATGAGGCTTCTAAAATCCTGGGACTCACAGGTGGGCCAAAGGCTGACATCACTTTCTTTCTGCCATATTTAAAGACATCAGCTCTATTGACAGAGCTCCCATCTCCTGTCGGAGGTGGAGGGGTGAGGTGTATGTGTTGCTGATTTTTGCCAACGACATCACCAGTGCTACCCAGTGTCCCCCTTTCATGGCATAGCTAGCAGTTGGGGTCCAGTGTTAACCGTGTCATTTCCCAGGATTCCATAAGGCTCACCTCAACTAGCAGAGCATCACCTACCGGGAATTATCACCAATAATGGTGTCACACCATTGTCTCCCAAGATTCCGCCCAACCATGGTGTCATCATCTCCCAGGGTCCACATAACATGTTGTCATCACCATTTCCCATAATCCACCACGACATGCAGGTACGATGTGCCAGGACCCACCACAAACATGTTCTCATCGCCTCCCATAATCTGTCGTCACAACAAGCTCACTTCACCATCTCCCAGGATCTATGCCCGCCACGCTGTCTTCCCCATCTCCCAGCAATCACCACAGCCACAACGTCTCCACCACCTTCCAGGACCCATCAGAGGCACGCTGTCCTCATCCCTCAGGAGCCACCACAACCACAGTGCTCTTGTCTCCCCTGATTGTGCCAAGGCCAATGACGTCCTCACCTTCCAATGTCCATTATGCCTCGTGGTGGCGCTCTCTAAGAGGACTTGGTTGGACAGGGTAGTGCTGGTGTTTCTCAGAATTCCTTAGAATGGCACTGTCATCTCCCAGGACCCACCTTAACCACATCTTCATGTCTTAGTAGCCACCAGAGCTATGATGGTGGCTCATAAAAATCCACTTCAACTGTGGTCTCCTTGGATTCTTGCAATCCTGTACCACCACATCCTGAATCCATTTAATAGTATCCCAGTTATAATCTACAAAAAACTCCATGAGAGTCACGGTGTCATCACCTCCCAAGCCCCACATCGATCATGTCCTATCATGATTCATCAGGATCTACTTGTAACCATGGTGCCATCATCTCCAATCAGCCATAACAGCCAATCGTATCTTCATCTCCCGGGACCCACTTTAACCCCAGAGTCTCCATGACCTAGAGTCCCTGACATCCAGTGACGTCATTATCCTTGGGGTCCACCATAACCATGGATCCATGACAACAAATAATGCCATCATTTCCCAGAGTTCACTTTAGTCATGGTGTCATCGCCTCCCAGAATCCACGTTAAAACTATGTGTCATCGTCACCCAGGATCTATGTGTCCTCATCTTCCAGGACCCATGGCACTAGTGTGCCATTTGTCAGAACCCACCACCTTAGGGTCCAAATGGGGTGACAGGCTATATTTCAGTTGTCCTCTGGGGTCTCATGGCATTTACAATTCCTCCCTTCAGGGGAACCAGCACAACAGGCCATTTCCCATTCCCTCCAAAAAACTAGCGTGGAGCCAGCTGTCTCCCTCTGATAATGTCACACACACACACACACACACACACTGGCCCTTCTTGATTATGTCACTGTCTCACCCCTGATCTGGACGGATCAGCTTCACCTACAGACTTGGCCTTGGCCCCATCCTTTACTCACTGGTGAGTGCATCCAAACTCTTCCTTGTAGTATCACCGCTGTCCCTCACCCAGCCATCTGATCGGTGACAGGGTCAACCCAGCGACCTCTCCACAGCAGAGGTGGGGCTTCCTAGTGCTTGGATGGCATCACTGCCCTACCCTCATTCAATCCCTGTTACTTGGACCACCCCACCGGGATCAGAACTCGCTAGCTTGGGCCAGACCCTCTTTAGAGAATCTTGACCTGTGGGAAGTTGCTGCAGCGGATAAACCACTTGGTGGCCAGTTGCTGGGGTGGGTATACCTGAGAGCAATGGGCGCTGCTACCTTCACCTGCAAAGGCCAAGAAGGATGCTCCTTCACCCCTTCCCCTAATGTACTAGGGAGCACCCAGGGGCTTCAGGGAGTCCCTAACACCCAGCGCACAATTTGACCCCTCCACACACACAGTTCTCTGCACATATAGCCATGTTTCAGGGGGGCGGCCACTCCCCATTCTTAAAGGGCTACATGTCCCCCTCCCAGCCCCCCAAGGCGAGGAGGGGGCCTCTCCTCCCTCCTCTGGGCCGCCCTCTCCCTCTTATACCCTCTTTCCCCACCAAATATTGGCCTCTGTGTTCATCCCTTCTCGCCAAGAGCCTGGGTGGGACAGATGGTGCCAGGGTCTCACCACTGCTGGAAGTAGGAGGGTGCCACCGATCCTCCCGATCTCCAGCGCCAGGCTTTCAGTCTCCCAGCTGGCTAATAGACGTTCCTTCCTTTCGTGGGCTCCCCATCCATTCGAGGGCCTCCCTTCGAGCAGCGAGCGCTTAACCCTCCCTCCCGCGGAACACACAGCCTTCTTCAGCCCCCAGCTTCGGAGGGGCTCGGGAGCTTTCAGCTTTTTGTTTGTTCCCTTCTCTCTCCTTCCCTCCCTCTCTCCCTCCTTCCTTCCTTCCATCCATCCTAACCTGGGTCCCTTCCTGGGATCTGCCCTCCACCCTCCACTCCCCTGCCTGACCCTGGAGCCTCTTATCTCAATAAAGCCATAGTGGGGAGAGGTCTAGAGGGTGCGCAAGCAGGCGCTGTTCTGCTCACCGCACCCCCCCCCCCACTACCACCACAATGCTTCCAAAACTGGGACCCGGCTTTCTGAGTCTTCCCCCCTGCTCCCCAGTGAACACACAAACACACGCGGGCAGGGTGTGCCCTGTCTTGAAGGGAAGCATCTCCCCTTCTGGCTGGGGGCTGCAGAGGGGCGCACCAGAGGACCCTCCGCACCTCTGAATCCCTCCCCCTCCCCCACTCTTCCTTCCAGTGCTGGACCCGCCTTCAACTTCCTGGTGACAGCAAGAAGAGCTGGCGCTTGGTGTGGGGTGTGGGGTGTGGGTGTTTTTCCGATTTGGAATAAACAGCTGTTTTTCCTGATCCTCAGTCTCCAGATTTTCTTCTCACTTGTTCACTGGGAAATTGTGGACACACACACACACACACACACACACACACGTGTAGTAGATGAAAGTATAGGTTTGGCCGAAGGCATACTGGTTTTTATCAAGGGAGAAACTTCTAATGTTTCCAGAAAGCTCAGAGATGCCTCTTGCCGCTTGACCCATGAAGCTGAGTCCTTCTGCAAGACCACTGGGGCTCTGAGCAAACGACTTCGCATCTCCAGCTCCCTCGGTATTTAATACTATGTTCATCTATCGTGTGTATGTGTGTCTGTCGCTGCACAGGTGTTGTACCAGTGAGCTGTGTTTCCAGCCCTTCTGTGGTGGCGCTCACCTTTAACTGCAGCCCTTGAGAAATAGAGACAGGCAGATCTCTAAGTTTAAGAAATAGAGACAGGCAGATCTCTAAGTTTAAGGTCTACAAAGCAAGTTCCAGGGCAGCCAGGGCTACACAAAGGACTCTTGTCTCAAAACGAAATAAAACAGAGAAACCAACAAATGATTTTTTTTTTAATTTTATTTTAAGCCAGGTTCTCACTGAGTTGCCAGGCTGGCTTTGAACTTGCTGTAGTCTATAGCCCAAGCAGCCATTGAATTTTCATCCGCCATTATCTTCCTTCTCACTAGGATGACAGGCCCATGCCAACAAGCCTGCCACCAACATGTTTTCTGAGGGATGCTATTCAAAGGGGGAGTGGGAAGGTATGTTCCTTTGCAGTGCCCATTTGTATGGTAAGTGGGCAGCATCTTCCCTGCCAGTTTCCCTCTCTTCAATGCGTTGAATTATGTTCTCATTGGATTCTCTTGCTGTGATAAACACCAACTTGGAGAGGAAAGGGTTTGTTTCTGCTTAAAACTTCCAAGTCCATTACTAAGCAAGTCAGGGCAGGAGCTCAAGGCAGGAAGCTGGAGGCAGGGGCTGAAGCAGACA